GCACCCTGGTTTATATATATATATATATATATATATTTCATATATGTATATGAAATTGAGATAAGCGACAGTCTTGTCTAGCAGCGAGAAATGTGAAAAGTTTTTGCCCATAGCATTGCTATATATTTTTTTAATAATCTTAAGTGCCGGCCATGCAAGTTTGATAGGCAATAGGTAAAGTCCTGGCTTTTTCATTTAAATAATTGTTCAATGCAAATAATTGTGGTTTTTTTTTTATATAAAATTTAAGATGGCTCTGGTAAATTAAGCAAATTTTAAGTATACATAGAATATAAAATATAAAATTTTTGCTATGTGTATATCACAAAAGCTAAATGGAATGAAAAACAAAGTTAACCCATCGTTTGTTTAGGAAGCCAAAAAGGAAACATTGTAACATTGCATGCATAGTCAGTTGCTCTTTTGCATGCATTCGCAAACACGTAGCCAAGTTGACGGCCAATAATGCTTAAGATCAGATTGAATGTGTTTGCAAGACTGGTAGAAAAATTGCTGCATTATTTACACAAAGCTACGAAATACCAATTGTCAGTTTTCATCGATTGGCAGAATATTACGATGGGAAATGAGAAAACTGCAACCAACTAAATGCCAAGCTAACCTCAACGATAACGTGGTTGCGTTCTGGCTGCTGCAGTAGCGACAAAAAAGGTTTAACATATTTTAAAAAAAAAAAGGAGCCATAAGAGCCATAAGAAGAGAAGGGCGGCAACTTACTTCCGAGAAATATTTTTGCGTTCATGTTACGTTATGGTCAACAAACAGGTCTTTAAAATTCAGTGAGCCCCCGTCATTACCTTTACGTAAACACTAAAGGATTCTTATGAACAATTTACTGCAATGTATTCCTGCATAGCAGTTTCGCAGAAAAGGGAACAAAGAGAACAAAGAGCAAAATTATGATGACGTTTAGCTTCCCTCTTAAGATATTACGCCCGGTTCTTCTACATTTTTTTTTACATGCAAGCGCCATCACTACGGTCTTGGCTATGAAAATAAACTGAATGTGAAGACATTCCACGATAGTGTAAGCGTTTGCTATGAAAACTTTCCAAGCATTTTCTATATACATGTATTAGTATATGCCGGTATCTTATGTTGCGTTCAAATTACGTCTCCATTGGTGTGAGAGAGAGACCGCTTTCTTTGCACCTCTATATGCTCAGATTGATTGGGTTTAATCTAAAACAAAAAGCAGAGAAAAGAAAAACAAATAAGAAAATTATATTCGATGATGACCGAATTTTCTACTATCGTTATACCAAAAAAAAAAAAAAAAGAAAAGAAAAATTAAACAAAAGGAAAAGGACTAAATTTTCATACTTTGAATGGGCGCGGCTGATATTTTCTATTGCCAGGGTAAAAGGGCAAATTTATGTAGTGTATGTCCTGGACGTCATGTTGAACTTTCAACTTTGAACAAACAAAAATGAGAATATCGTACAATAAAACGCGAAAGATTCGCTTGGTTTAAAGTTAAATTTAATAAATTTTGTTTTTTTATGCAAAGAGAATATTTATGCAAACTATTTCAACTGTACAAAGGTATGTATGAAAGGGCAGCCAACTCACGCAGCAATCATATACACATTTTGATTAAATTGGAAAAAATAAAAATTAAAAAAATATTCGTTTCTGTTACGTTTACAAAGGAAGGAAATTGCTGAAGCTACGAAAAAAGTTCAAAGAAATCTGATAAAAAAAAAAAAAAAACGTACAGCGTTATGAAAATTTCGCGAACGAATTGGTTGTCAGTTCAACCAATGGAAGCAACGTAGTTTGATATTAATTTCACACTTCCATGCAAATATTTAAGAAAAGTAAATGTAATAGGTATGCATGCATTGCACGATTGATCCAATTTCCTATGCTCTTCAAGGTTATGTACCTTTCACCTTTATACAATTATATCTATTTTTGTGCGGTTGATGAGTACCGCAGAAAAAATAATAATTAAAACCTTCATAAATGACTCTAACAAATAATTTGTCGCATCATTACGCACACACAAACACACAAATAGCAAACGGTATAAAAGAAGGTTGTTTTTTTTTTTATGTGATGAAAAGAAAGTGCAAAAAAAAATGTCTCATTTGGGTATTATTCGAAAGCCCGATGAAATCATTTAAAAAAATTTTAATTTCTCAGTTTCGGTCCGGACCGATTTCCGCTACTTTTAAAGTGTCCGTCTTTTCAATTGTTGTGATGAACTCTCTCATAATTGCTTTTGCTACTTGATTGAGATTAGGGTTGTTTTAATAATCATGTAGTCAGTGATAATTTTTTTGCGACGACGGTCGTTTAAGCTTGTAAACATCGATCGAATCACCTTTTGGAATTTCAAACTTCTTTCGGAATAATTATCGACTTCAAGCAAATGCTTTTCGAATTGGCTGTCATACAATGCGATTCTTGTTGTCCGTCTCTATGACCCGTTCAAATTATCAATAATATCGCTATATGTACGGTTTCGTTGGAAAGTATTGTGATAAGATCTCTTGGGTTAAAAATTAAAAATATATTATTTTCTTCATATTCCTATCACTTCACGATTATAACGTTCATAAGTTGTTGCAAATAAAATTTAAAGTGTATAACCTGTCGGATTTTAGACACAGAGGTCCGATTAGATTGATAGTAAACCAAAACTAACCTTCAATAGAAAACGATAACTCACTCACACAAAGGTGAGTGCAACGACTCTTTGATAAAAACGTTGTAAGCAACGAGGTTACTCAATAGGTCCATTCCATGAAATGCGTAACGAATTAATTGGAGGTTCGTGTTATTTTTGAACAATACACTTATTAGCTTATTTGATATTACTTGTTCTTTCAAAACGGACATTATCGGTATGTTGTCCGAGTTGCTCTCACGCTCACGCGTTTTATTCGGATTTGCTTCCTCCGATATCTCTCTACCAATGGCATAAGTTATTCCCGATTTGTGCAAATTTCGTTGCCAAACATTTGTATTTCGTCAACAGACATCGACATCTGCCTACTGAATAAGTTGACGGTAAAGATCGCTTGAGAATACAGTCACACAATTGTTTGTGAGGTAAGAAGCGTTAAACTCGGGTTCGCCGACTTAATAGTCGCCTTTCGTAACATAGCTATGTGGCAGAACGATCTGAAGGAAGTAAGCAAGCAAGTGAAAGGTTCTATTCGGGCCGGAAAATAATTAGAAAAATACTTGTGCCATCGGCACAATACCATTTCTTAAAGCTACTATTTTTGACTATGTCGCATCGATACGATTCGCTCCTGCTCACCAAATGCAGGATCAATCCATTTAATTTGCTAGCTGTTGCAGACATCGGATACCTTGAAATAGTATAGAATGGAATAGAATAGAGTTAACCTCCTATAGAGAGCTTTGAATGCTGTAGTTACCGTGGCACTCTAACAATATCAGCTTCTAAAAGGTGGGTACGGTTGTTTATTAATATGTGTGCACGCATATATCGAATGAATGGCATTAATAGGTGTGGAAGCACTCTGAGCGTAATTTAAAAGAGAATAATTAAGTCAAAGAATATTTTACAAAATTGTTTTATTTGTGTTTACATTGTCAAATGGATAGAATTAATGGCATATACTTGTTCAAGTAATTGACTACATCGGCCGTTTGGCAACAAGAGTTTGACTTGGTGACAAAGCAATTAGTATATATATTAATATATTAGTATATATGGCTAGGACTGATAGCAGTTCACATTTGAATACCTATAGCGATTATTCAACTGCATCACAGTTGACGGCGTATGTTTCCTTACAGTTCAATTAGTACATTTTAGTAACTAGAGCGATTACTACTTATCAGCTGTCTTATATATCAACACCAAAAGCGCAACTACTAAAATACAGCGGTTTTTTTTTCAATCGGCAATAAAAGATGTTAGAAAAGAAACCATGACTACTTGACGAGGGAGGGCTTAATTAACATCTGATTAATATGTAAAAATAAGAAAGAATTATAAGGAATGTTATAGGAGACTATGTAAAGTAGCTGTCAGCAACTTTACGATACCCATCGCACTGTTTTCGGGGAATTCCGTGAATACCTATCAGCTGACCGGTAAGACTTTTGTCTTCGATGAGTATGCATGAATATCTACTGTTACTTTTTCAATGTTGAAGCGATTTATAAAGGTATTGCATTCATCACGACTCTGAAAATTCAAATAAGACCCAATGGGTGATCAGAGAAATGGACATAGTTAAGTCGATTAAGAACACGGTATTAATTGAAAACGAATGCTAGAGTTCTATGAGTTCGATAAGTAAAATACAAGACTTAAGTGTTTAAAGAGAAGACGTACTAGCAGATTGAATGGTCGAAGTGAGGCTTAAAAGGACTATTTAAATATTATGTTGAACAGTTATACATTCTTTATTTCGATTCCCATTGCCAACATATGTCAATTCTTGAAATACCCAAAATTTTACAAAAATTGCCTTCTTTTGCAAATAATGCTTCGTGACTGTCACTTTTCCATTCTAAAAACGCATAATAAGACAATTGGAACGAGTCAGTTTCAGAGAGAAGCGAGAGAGAAAAAGCGACGAAAGACGAAATAAATACTATTTTACGTATTATATTTAGGCAAAAATTCATGACAAATATTCTAATAGATAAGTGAGTGTAGATAGGGCAGATCAGCATAAAAAAATTTAGAAAATACAGGAAGCTAAATATTATGTTTCTATAATATTTACGCACGAATGTGTACTGAGTGAATAACTTATGCAGAGTTGTATTATTCTAAACTATGTAAGCGTATGAATATTAAAAGTCGATGTTATACACATCAGAATACAAACATTTCTACACTTGGCAATTTCGTATGAAGATAAGAACATGTATATGTGCGTGCGTGTGCATGTGTGAGAGAGAGTGAGAATATTAATGCAAAATCGGTATGTTATTAATAGTGATTTGTTTTGTTTATTTCGTATTTTTTGCATTAATTGTAGGTCTGCCTACGTGCCGTGCGAAGCTCAAGGTTTGGATGCAGTCCAATTGGCATTAGAGCAAATTGACATAATCAGGCGCCTGGCAGACATGTACAATCAAGATACTGTATTGGTGACGTCATCTAAGGATATTACAGAATCTCAACATCATGGTTTAATAGCATCTTTGATCGGTATAGAAGGCGGTCATGCCATCGGTTCCTCGCTAGGTGTATTACGTTCATTCTATTCGTTAGGTGCCAGATATTTGAGTTTAACTCATAAATGCGATGTGTCGTGGGCGGGTTCCAGCTCCTCATCACTAGATGCTGGGTTATCGCAATTCGGCAAAGCCATTGTAAGGGAAATGAATCGGTTGGGCATGATGATCGATTTATCATATAGTTCAGATGCAACGGCTCGGGACGTATTGCAAGCAACAAGAGCACCTGTTATATTTTCACATTCCGGTGCACGCCAGCTGTGTAATTCAACGCGTAATATACCCGATGATATTTTACGCTTGGTGGCCGAAAACGGAGGTTTAATAATGATTAGCTTTGATTCGGAAGATGTGGCTTGCGGTCGCCAAGCTCGCCTAAAAGACGTGGTTGATCACATTAAGTATGTACGTGCAATAGCTGGCGTACAGCATATTGGCTTAGGAGCCGGTTACGATGCTATCGAATTTCCTCCGCTGGGCTTGGAAGACGTTTCTAAATATCCTGATTTATTAGCTGCGCTACTGGAAGATCCTAATTGGAGTGAAGAAGATTTAGCTATGCTGGCCGGTAAGAACTTTTTACGTATCATGGAAACGGTAGAAAACGTCCGTGACTATTGGAAACGGGCCAATATAGATCCCATCGAACAATCCGAAGCTCAACCTAAGACACAGTGTACATATATGGCTTCGTGACCCCAGGTGCAGGCCGTGCGCTTTACGCGCAATGTGGCCATCCTGCAACAACACAATGAAACACGAGAGCAACGCAGCATTCAACCGACACAAAATGTCAGCATAGAAAGTGTAACGCGTAATCAAAGTGCATCAATGACCGCTGAAGCAGCTAATAATTTAAATATTATGAAATTAAACTTTTAGTTAGAGTGCAAAAACAACAATTGAATCAGAAAAATAAATATTAAAAATTAGTTTAAAAATTATAAAAACAATCATAATATTAATTTAAACCCATTAAAAAATAAAACCAAAAATCCAAAAACAGATTCGCATACACAGACACACACACACACACATAGCATACAGATAGACACAGTCATAGCGCACTAAACTACCTTAAATATCGAAATTATCTTGAAAACATTTCACAACGTATTTAATGTTTATAAAAAGAAAAAAAAAAAAAAAAAAAATCAAAAAAACAAAAAAAAAAATTTTATTGGGAAAATAAACAAAAAAAAAATTCGCAAATTCGCGTTACGTTTAATTTCTCCAAACTTACTATTGCTGTTTTTCTGAGTGCTATATCAAGTGTTTTGTTAACTCCATGCTTCGCCCGAATTATGTCTACTCGTCGTTTAACATTTTTTCAATCTTTCAAGAAAACCGAATAGGATAACTATATTTTCTTGGAAAGCGAACTCTAAATACCGACCATCGCAGAGGCCCCACATATGGCAATAATACGAAAGAAGAGATAATCTGGCGATTGCAATATGAATGCCCTGACGGACATACATTATCTAGTGCTAGTCAAAATTGTGCATAGATAATGAATTATGGTATAAAAAATTTCACTTTTACTATTATGCCGTTTGGCTATTACTGCAATAAACTATGAGTTCGTGAAAACTTGTTGACACTTGTCGTTACAGTGTTATTTTTTTTTTTCATTTGCATCCTTTTTAGACCAAAAAAAGTGTTCGTTCTATTAAAAAAAAAAAAAAGCAATAAAGAAGAAAATAATGATAATTTTTAGTTTGTTTTGAGAACTGGTACTTAAGAATTCTTAAAATGTAGAATAATTTTATGAAATGTTCTTATGTTCGAACTCGATAAGCATTAATATTCGACAAACTGTAAATGTGAAAATTTATGAAATGCAAAATAAAAAATAAAATAAAACTGTGAGAATTTTTAATAAATTTGACTCAGAGTGTTTTTGTTCTTCGCCTGCCACTTTTCAAATATTGCGCATACTGCATTGAGGAGGTAAGTTTTATATAATAAAAACAGCTTTGAATGACAACATAACAAAAAAAAAAGAAGAAAAAAAACAATGTTTGAATATATTAAACTATGAATAGTCTCTATTAAGCCTTGGATTGATGCTATCTTCAAAATGCTTTTGTTATCTTCAGTTTTATGAATTGTGATCTACTTCGGTGGTCATAAAATGTTTGAATTTGAGAAAATAGCCAACAATACCAGCAACGTATAAATGAAGACTGAATGACTGAATTCCGAGACTTCCTAATACAACTGCCCATTATTACTGTCAATAGGTTCTCTCGAAATTTTTCCAACTTGTTAACTATGAAAGTAATTCGCGACAACTACAGTGCAAAAAAAAAGAAAAAAAAAAAAACAAAGTAAATTGATGGCTTATTTATTTAATAAACAATAACTTTGTTAATCCAATGATGAACAACAAGTGCAAGTACAAGTGTACTAAACATGAATTCTTCATTTTATTTATAACTGAGCAAGAATTCTGATAATTTCTTAAAGAGATTGTACATTGAAAACCCCACAACATGGAGATGTTTTTCATACCCGACTGCTTTAAGTTGATTTTAAGACTCAATGCCAGTCGTGGACGTTAAAAATATATATATATATATATATGTAGAACTTAACAGGCAGTTTCAGCTTTGATATGAAAATTTTCTAAATAAATTATAATTAAAATAGGATTAAATATCAAAATAGTTGTATAAACAACCTCTGCAAACTATTGCTGATATAAATTCTCATAAGCTTTCTTCACATATCCTAAGCAAGATATTGCGTATCCTCATTTTTTAACCATTTAAAATCATTTATTAATAATTATTTGTTAGTAATTTAAGAAATTATTATTTAACCTAAAAAAAATAGGAGTAAAATATATGAACGCTATATGTACTTTTTTTTTTATTCCTTCTTATTATTATATGAATTAACCCATTCGAAACCGTTTTTTTTTTTTTTGAAATTCATTCAACTCTCAATTTCATTGTCACAAATCGTTTTCTTCATTGGGGACTAAGTTGCAACCAATACTGAATTTTAAATTTATACCCTTTTAAGATACTTTTTATTTTAAACCAGTTTCATGGCGATGGCGACTTTTCCATACTGACGAATAATTTCAAATCAATAACATTTCACATATGCTATGCGATCCTTGTCGAATGAGTTAAGATTTAACAATGTAACCTAGAACTAGAAAAAAGCTAACAGAATGAACCTAAGAGAAATTAGTTTATCTCTAAACATACTTGATTGCTTAAGAATAAAGTAAAAACGAAATTAGAAGATATTCAAATTTTGCAATGAACACCATACCAAGCAGCAGTGTTTTATTAAAGTGACTAAAGTAAATTGCAAATCCTGGCAATTTGCAATACAAACTACGGTGAGAGTGTTTCAGGCTTCGCTAATATAAAAAAAGGTAGAAAAAAAGATTAGCATCTTTACAGATTTAAAAACCAAAAGGAAAATGGAATTGAATATCTTAAGCAGAGATGCAAAGGATGTTTATCAAAAAATAAAAAAAAATAAAATATAAAAAAATACTTGATTGCAAAAAGAAAAAGAACGGCAAGCGAAGTGTAAAATTTCGAATGGATGTCCCGTATTAATTAATTCCAAAAAAAAAAAAAAAAAAAACAACCATAATAATAATTTCATCATCCTATCTTATACATATATATATTTTCATAAAAATCGGCAAAGTCAAAAGCTTAATACGCTATGCTGAAAGTGGATCCATAATAATAATAATTTGATATAAAAATGAACTCTACAAAATTTAGACAACGTACGCCTATTTTTGGATCCTACCGTAAATAAGGATTTGCACGAAAATGTTGGATTTTGAGGGCAGACATGTCGAACTATTCGTATTTTATGATGAAAATTGCTCCATACTATGCTGAATTTTGAAGTAAGTAAGTTAAGTTATTTGCAAAAAAGTCCAATTTTTAATGTACAGTCCCATGATGGTAGGTTCATATAAAAGCAGATTACAATTTTCTTGTGCCTTGGCGAAAAGAAAAATTGTGTTAGATAATGTGATGCAGGGTATTTGATAGTCGGCCAAGCTTGACTATAATGTTTTAACTTGTTTTTTGTTTATTTTCTAACTAATTAATGTAAGATTAGTTTTAAATAGTTTTGGTGTGAGTTAAAAGATAACAAATCACATTTGCATGTAAATTAATAGACAGTAGAAAAATAGATGGATAGATGATATGACGGGTATGTGTTGCGGTCACCTGAAACTGTAATTCCTCGCTTGACTGTCAATAACTTCTTTGATCGCACAAATTTTATGCTGCATATCTTGCATTGTTTATTTTGATTTAAATTTTTAATTTACACTTAGCTTTTGTTAAAGCATAAGCTTCGAATGTATGTATATTTATTTGTGGGCTTTGGTGCTCTATGTATGTCTGCGTAGCATATCACATTTATAACGAATATTGATTAAAACAAAAAGCAAAAAAAAAAAACAAAAGTCAACACCAAAACTTCCCACGTTCTTAAGAGTATCTACTGAAAAGCAATCATAGTTGAATTTTTTTTTTTTTTTTTTTCCTATTTTACATCAAAAGTTGCTTGAAAAAGAATTTTAAACAATTTTCGTTCGTTTTTTTTTTTTGGACTTTCTTTGGTACACTTCCCAGTTCTCTTCGTATTTTGTAAGAACTAAAAATTACATGGAAATCATTTAAGTTTCAATGAAAAGGAAAACACGGAACACACGTAGCTACGTGAGTGATAGATCCAGAGAATTGTTTTTATTAACTTTCCGTGCAAACGGTTCTATAACGTCAAGTTTATTTCACAAAAGAAATGAAAAGGAAAAAAAAGAAAATGTCATAAGCCGTTTAATCTCTCTGCACTTTTTTTCTTGCCATTTGAATGCGAGCATGCGATGAAAAAGCCAAGAAAGAACTGTCTTCAAAAACGTTAGTAAATACCAAAGTTTGCTTGTTATGCAAAGTTAACAAAAAGAAATCTTTTCAAACATACGATTTCTGTGAATTATTCACTTTTCTATTCACCTAAAAACGTTAAATCAACAACTGAGAATCTTATAAACGGATATGCAGGCATGCGTTCATGCACATATATACGCAGTCAATATGCTAAGATTATATGAATATATGTGCTAGATATGTGGTGCTACAATGGTAGGAGTTATGAGGATAACCGTCAGACTGTTATTTTATATGAAATGGGAAACTGTCGCACTGCAGCGTATGTTTATGTCGCTCTATTAAAGTGCGAAACGCATTCGTCTTAGAGGACAATGTGACTGGCCAAACAATTATTGAGAAGGAGTATATATAATATTAAGTTTGAGCCGATATATTTATGTAACACACGCACAAGCGCTCAAAATAGGCCCAGCCAAAGTCTGTCAGATACCTATCTGATGTCTGTCCGTGCTTTTGTATTCAATTTACAGGCAACAGTTTTCGAGATATTCTCAGGAGATTTTGTATACTGACGCGTTTTGACCCAATGATGAACGGAAATAGTTCAGATTGGTCCACAAAGACACTGAGTAATAGTATTTCAAAATAATATATCGGTCTGCAACATGTGGTTCGGTGGAGCAATTTTTGAACCCTATCTCATATAATCGTTCTTATGAAAATGGTATGTTTGTAGGGTAAAAAGATTCTCTTTTCAACATTTTATGGTGAAAATTGGTTCATAATAGGAAAATAAAAGAGAAATCAAGTTTATGGAATTTGGACCGCATAGCTCTTATTCCTTATAGAACCCATTCCATATAAGATTTTGTCATGAACAGTAAAATCTTAAGAAAAAGCTCCTGGAATATGCATCGCAACGATTTTTTTTTAGACCCTAATATATACGGGGCCTATCATTGAAAGCAAGCTCTTACATAGAGGAAAAAAAAAGTAATTTCTAATTTTCTATGACGGAAGTTGGAAGATAA